TTTTCACGCTGCCAAGGCGCCTGCTGCCGCCCTGAGAGGTTCCAAGTCTGCCCTGGCAGCTGCAGAACCCCTCAGAAATGCCCTGTTCGTTGCTTTTACAAAATGTCTGCTTATAAACACTGCTTTCCAAAAATGTCTGCTTTCTGTCTCAGTGGTCTGGTCATTGCAATGCTGGTGTAGTTCATTCCAGCCTGTTCGTTGCTGTTTCAGCCACCTACCATTGATCTCCAGTCCTTTTGGGTAAGTTTGTTACACTGAATGTCATTTCCCTGCAAGTTCCTTTGTCAGTCTTCAGCCTCCTGCTACTGCTGTGCTCAGGAAACACGGTCAAAGACATCTAGTTTCAGAGGCAATGCGATATCTGCGGAGGCTTGTTCCTGCAGAGAGGAGAATGAGGATAGAAATTTTTGTGGAAAGGTTGATCCATCACTCGAGGGTACTATTTTGGACGTTGAAATGGATGACACTGTGTCCTTTGCACTAGAAACGACGACTTTGGATTCTGTTTTTGTTGACACAAGGTAATAATCAACATGATCTAGGAATAATTTTGGTTCTCTCTCAGATGCCATTATAGAAAAGGAGGAAGGGACTGAAACATAAGTTTCAACCACGACAGTTTGAAGATGGAAGGAAGACGACGTATCAATAGTGTCGCCTTCTGGAGGGGAAGATTATCCGGTTCGATAAAAACGAAATTAGGAACCAAAGGGGAGCGGAGGAATAGCCGTCGATTTTTGCAAACAGGAAATTTGCTGTGCAGACAGTGCTCGTAGAAATAGGACCTGCATAAAATGTCCACAAAGCAACGCTAAAACGACACAGAACCGGACCGGGCTGCATTATGAGATTTTTTTAAGACCTGGGCAGACTTCTTTTCTCAGTGGGCGCGCTGATTCCTGGACAACTCTACTAAGGGTGTGACTTCACACTCAGGAAGGGTAAGTCGGAACAAAACATTGTCAAAGATGCCTCCCACCACGACTGGCTGGTGGAGAGATAATCATCGCGTCATGCTCTACAACATTTTGGAACCCTGACTTGCACTGTGTCCTGG